CCTACATAATCCGCGTCCAGCACGACGCGAAACCCTCAATTTTCCCTACCCACACCCACTGGTACGAATCCACCTTGAGATCCGCCTCCGCCGACGCCGGCGTAATCCACTCGTACGACACCGTTTTTCATGGTTTCTCGGCGAAGCTCTCGGCGGGGGAGGCTGAGAAGCTGGAGAGCCGGTCAGGGGTAATGGCGGTGATTCCGGAGCAGGTGAGGCAGCTGCACACGACGCGGTCACCGGAGTTTTTAGGATTGAAGACCGCCGACAATGCGGGACTACTGAAGGAGTCGGATTTCGGGTCGGATCTCGTAATCGCGGTGATTGATACTGGGATCTGGCCCGAGAGGCCGAGCTTCGACGATCGAGATTTGGGGCCCGTGCCGGCGAGATGGAAGGGTGAGTGCGTCGCCGGTGATAAATTCCCGGCATCTCTATGCAACCGGAAGTTGATCGGAGCGAGGTACTTCTGCGGCGGCTACGAGGCGAGCAACGGGAAGATGAACGCGACCTCCGAGTTCCGTTCGGCGAGGGACTCCGACGGCCACGGCACCCACACAGCCTCCATCGCCGCCGGCAGGTACGTTTTCCCTGCCTCGACCCTCGGCTACGCCCGTGGCGTCGCAGCCGGGATGGCCCCCAAGGCCCGCCTCGCCGTCTACAAGGTCTGCTGGACCGCCGGCTGCTACGACTCCGACATCCTCGCCGCATTCGACGCCGCCGTCGCCGACGGTGCCGACGTCATCTCCCTCAGCGTCGGCGGCGTGGTGGTGCCCTACCACCTCGACGCCATCGCCATCAGCGCTTTCGGCGCGTTCGACGCCGGCGTCTTCGTCTCCGCCTCCGCCGGCAACGGAGGCCCCGGCGGCCTCACCGTCACCAACGTCGCCCCCTGGGTGACCACCGTCGGCGCCGGGACCATGGACCGCGACTTCCCTGCTGACGTGAGGCTCGGTGATGGGAGAATCCTCCCCGGCGCCAGCGTCTACGGCGGGCCCGCGCTGGCGCACGATAAGCTTTACCCGCTAATCTACGCCGGCAGCGAAGGCAGCGATGGCTACTCCTCCTCCCTCTGCCTGGAAGGCTCTTTAGATCCGAAAATCGTCGAGGGCAAAATCGTACTCTGCGACCGTGGGATTAATTCCAGAGCCGCCAAGGGCGAGGTAGTGAAGAAAGCTGGCGGAGCCGGAATGATTCTCGCCAACGGAGTTTTCGATGGTGAAGGCCTCGTCGCCGACTGCCACGTGTTGCCAGCGACGTCCGTCGGCGCATCCGCCGGCGACGAGATCCGAAAGTACATCCGGTCAAAATCCCTTCCAACGGCCACCATCATTTTCCGCGGCACTCGTCTCCACGTGGCTCCAGCTCCGGTGGTTGCCTCCTTCTCAGCCCGCGGCCCAAACCCACAGACCCCAGAGATCCTGAAGCCCGACCTGATTGCCCCGGGCCTAAACATACTCGCAGCCTGGCCCGATAACGTGGGCCCAAGCGGCATCCCATCCGACCACCGCCGAACGGAGTTCAATATCCTCTCCGGCACGTCCATGGCCTGCCCGCACGTCTCGGGCCTTGCCGCACTTTTGAAAGCGGCCCACCCGGAGTGGGGCCCAGCCGCCATCCGGTCAGCCCTGATGACCACAGCGTACAGCCGGGACAGCCTCGGCAAGCGAATGCTCGATGAGTCGACCGGGAATTCATCGACCGTGATGGATTACGGGTCGGGCCACGTCCGGCCCCAACGGGCCATGGACCCGGGCCTCATTTACGACCTCACCGCCTACGATTACATCGACTTCCTCTGCAACTCGAACTACACGTGCAAGAACATCCAAACGGTGACACGAAAAACGGCCGACTGTAGCGAGGCGAGAAGAAGGGAAGGGCATATCGGTAATCTGAACTACCCGTCCATGACGGCCGTTTTTCAGATGTACGGGACGAAGCGTAAACTTTCGACACACTTTATTAGGACGGTGACGAATGTTGGGGACTCGAATTCAGTTTACAATGTGAAAATCCGGCAGCCGAGAGGGGTGTCTGTGACGGTGGAGCCGGAGAGGCTTGTTTTCCGGCGAGTTGGGCAGAAGCTGAATTTTCTCGTTCGGGTACAGACTGAGACAGTGAAACTGTCGGCCGGGAGCTCGGCCGTGAAAAGCGGGTCGATCGAGTGGAGTGATGGGAAGCATGTTGTGACTAGTCCTGTAGTTGTGACCTTGCAACAACCCATTTGAGTCTTGTTGATTAAGCTTTTTTTTGGGGGTTTAAGGTAATGTTTTGTGAATTGTGTGTGGGGTTAATGTTGACATATATGTATGTATGTATGTGGGAATGAGTTTGGTTTGTTTGTTTAGTGTTTGGTTGTTGTGATATGTGAAGAATCAAGAATGTGATGTAAAAAAGGTAAGTTGAGATTATGTGGAAGATGGATGTTGGCATTTGATTTTTCTTTCATACACTCTAAATTAGCAATTAGACATGAAAATCTCACAAAAGGCCTTATCCAACATTAGGAAGAAGGCCTTATCCAACTTACTGAAGATGCTACGCTCTCGTTACGGAACAATTTCGTCGAGGTTTATAATCGTTAGATCAATTATCTTTAATAGGTTTATAATCGTTAGATCAATTATCTTTAATGGTTACATGGTGATCTAACGGTTACAATCTCTGACAGAATGATTCCGTAACGGGACCTTTACATCCATAGAGTTTTTAGCATGCAATAGATTGCAATTTGGTTCAACAGCAATTAAGTTTGTTTTGCCTCCTTTTGCACATTGTTGTTTAGTTTTTGTTTGAAAGGAATTCAAATGGACAGTCCCGCTCATCTGCCCACGGTGGGCAGTGCCCACTAGTTTGTTTTATATGAAAACGTATTCTAAGAATACGTTTTTCAATTCATCTGTCCACGGTGGGCAGGGGAATATAATTTTCAAATGGAATGGGGGGTAATATACTTTTGTGAGAGGTGGCTTTAGATAGAGACAGTGAACTAGTGGAAGCAATGTAGGCCCTTTTGTACTATTTTTTCACACCCATGTTTTAAATTCCAATTTCCATGGTTCGGCTTTCTCTCTCGTGAACTATTGAGTTTGTTTTTTAACGTTTTTCTAGCACTAGTAAAGTGCACGTGCGATACACGTGGTAATAATGTTTTTGGCCGATAAGATAAATTAATTAAATAATTAAACATATGATTGCAAGAATAAAATAAAATATAGAACAAATAAACTAATAATATTTTTTTTTTCCAAAAATAACATAATGATGTCGTAATATAAAAAGATTTAAATGACATGTTACAAACTCAACAAAAATATATATAAAAAAATGAGTCAATAAAAAAACAAAAAACGAAATAACTAAATAAAGATCTAATGTATATTATAAATGCATGAGTATTTTTATCTATTTATAGTTTAGTAAAAAGTTTGATTTATTCAACACATAATTAGAAATGCTTTAGCCGAACATATAGTCAAACCAGGGAAAGACGCAGACTCGCAAGACTGAGGGGGCACAAACATAACCTTTACAAAGTGCAAAAAAAAAAATGATATTTATTCTCTGCATGTTCTTATATATTATATCACTAATAATTAAACAAATTCAAATCTCATTAAATATATTTTTTTCAAATACCAAATTTTTTTCTTTTCCACTGGATATTCTTACAACGTCAGCATTCACAGACTTTTTTTTTATAATAAAGATAAATATTTATTACTTAAAAATCAATGAAAAACACAATTTAGTAGCTAATTTAAACTTATAATTATAATTTTAAGAACACCTAAATTCAATATGTATCAAAATCAATGTTGATTTTTGTGAAAAATCGATTTAACTCATTTATATATGTTGCCTACAACATAGTATAAATACCAAATGCAAACAACTTAAATTTTAAAAAAACCTCTTGTAATTATTTTTCAATATAATTATATATGTTATAATTTGTTTTAAAAAAATTGCACAGGGGCCTGTGCCCCTACTGGCGCCTGCCTAGGTCCGCCCCTGAGTCAAATTTCATAATTGATCATTATAAGGTATTTCTACGAACATTTCATAAATATCTATGTGAAATAGTCATTGAAATTCTTGAACTTTTTTAATCATTGTATAAACTACTACATTTCTCTCTCCCTCTCTCTCTCTCTCTCTCTCTCTCTCTCTCTCTCTCTCTCTTTCTCTCCCCATATCGACAAATTGGTACATATCCTATAAGGTGGGAACTGATTTCATTTATAAATAAAAATTGATCTTTCAAAATTATGTACTTCTCCGAAAAGACGCTAAACTATTTTTAATATCATCACACATTACATGAAAAGTACATACTTTAAAGTAATTGCTCATATTATCGAGCACAATACACAATTAAGATTGTAAATGCTCAAATTAAAAAGTAACAACTTATTCAAACATTTAAAAATATTTTGATCAGAATCGAATATTCCCTATTCAATATTATTTATTTGGAAGACAAACAAACTACATAACCTATTATTTGCAAATCACCATTTTAGTTGTCGCAACGATTTTAGAGTTAATTGTCTTAATACCTTTCACAATCGATCGAATTTGTAATATCGAGAAGCATAACATTTGTCAAAATATTTAATATGAGAAGAATATGAATTCTATATATTATATTATGATACTCTTAGTCATATGTGAACTTTATTATTATTACGTCATTATTAAAGTTTCTGGTGGATATTGTGATATTATGGAATCATTATTTATGAGAACCAATTTCTTATAGAGAACATATATTGTGATATTATGGTTCTCATTATTTATGAGAACCAATTTTTTTTTTTTTTACGTAGAATATCATTCTTATCTCTTGTTTAGTTATTCTAATACTAATAAAATTATAACGGACTTTTTCAACCTAGTTGTATCTTAGTTTTTTCAAAA